CGTCCTTGGTACCATTACGCCTCATCTTATAGGCAATCTTGAAAGACGACTCTTGTGGAGCTACGCCACATGAGTTCACTAAGTGCTCGAGAATTAGGCTGGTAACCGTCGTGCACTGTTCTTCTGCTAACCATGCCGGATAATTTTCAAAGATGCGTTTTGAACATGTGCGCTTTGTGCGGCCAATATGATCAGCTCCATATGAGTAGATGAATTTATAAACACACATTGAAGTGGCCTAAAGCGGCAGTTTATCCTTCTCACATCCATTGATCATTTGTTGGCTGTAAAAATTTATCCGTAGTTCAGTCACAAAGAAGGCTTTCCTCAGTAATCTGCATGGGCGATTCTTCAACGTTCATAAATAGCAGTTTCTTCGGCACCATCTGGGTTCTTTCAGGCTTTTGCTTTAACTTCATGTTCTTCTCGATAAATCTTGAAGGATATCCATTTTCCATGAGGATTTGTCTGAGTCGCTCTATTTCCCCATCGATTGTATCACTGGAACAAATGCTTCTTATTCTTGAGGATAAGGAGTGGATTAGGGACCTAACTTTGAAAATTCGTGTATTGGCCATTCCATTTTGGTTTGCTGTAGATCGATCTTTGAAGAGAACCATCAGATCTCTTTTTTTAGAAAAATAACCAAAAAATGGAATTTCGAGTTCATCTCTGATTCCGACGTGAATTGGATGGCATGATGACAGCTGTTGAACTCATTAGTTATCATTTCTATGTCGTCTTCTCATCACATTTGATGAAAGTATCATCCATGTATCTTTGGTACATATGGAAACTATCGATAGGAAGTCGTAACTTTTTATTCTCCAAACTTGCCAAGAAGCAGTCTGCAAGTAAAAGACCCAATGGTGACTCGACTACCACTCCATCTCTTTGTCTATAGAGTGTGTTGTTGAACTTGAAGTGGACATTAAAAGTCTACCTCAGAAGCAGTTCCTTTAAGTGGTGTATCGGAACACCCACATCTCCATTATTATCCCCAATGAATTTTCTTATAAAGCAAATAGTTTTGGTGAGATGAACATTAGTGAAAAGGGACGTATCATCCATTGATATCGTTTTCTTTCCAGATACATTAGCATCACTTATTGAATCGATGAATTCAAATGAATCTGAAACACTATGCTTGCAGAGGTTGTTTCTGATAGGTAGGAGGATATCTGTGAGCCATTTGGCAGTAGCATGATATGGGGAATTTGTCATGTCCAAGATTGGACGTAGTGGCACGTTCTCTTTGTGCACTTTCGGCAGACCATATAAACGGGGAATCAAGGAACCGGAGGGTCGTATTTGCTCGAATAATTCAGAGCTGATAATCGACTCGTTCTTCGTCTTCTTTAGCATTTGGGATATGCATAATTTTGTCTACAATTTTATGAAAACATGCTTACGGAGATTCTATCCCAACGTTTAACCGAAGTGATAAAGAGTATATTCTTCAGTGGATATCTGTTTCTACCCTTAATTAGCTGTCTTATATTCACTTCAAAACTTATAGATGATCTTCCTAATCCTAACTTTCCTCACGCTTCTACCGTTCTGTTTCTGTGAACTAAGTTGTATCGGACGTACGTCTACTCAGGTTTGTCAAGGACATCTAACAGCCTGGTTCAAAAAGGAGGAAATTAAACCCATTAAAAGTTCAATTCTGTCACACTTAGTGGATACAGAGCTTCAGTTACAAGCTATTACAACCTTTAGTTTTATACACCATATACCTGAGAAATTGTTACATACACTCCGTCTACGTCTTTTACATAAAACCGAAGGAATGATCAAGGCAGAAAGAACAGGATTGGATGACGTTCCTGTCATGGTATTCTGTGAACTAAATATGATTCTCAACTCTGGTAGTTTCTGCTCACCTTTATTATTTTCAACAACTATTCTTCTGGCAATTACATTTTTTCTTTGTTGTCTTTTATTTCCTATTCATCCAACATATCTGAAAGGTTTATGAATATTATTATGTATTAACAAAGTCCACTTCGCATTTGAAGGAGAACACTTTAAACAAGCGGATGGCGTTGCTATGGGGACGCCATTATGAACTTTGTTGACTGACCTATCCATGTCTTACATTGAAAATCTGTCCAGTGATTTGACTACTAAAGTGCCTTTCTATAGAAAATTCATTGATTATATTATTGGGATACGCATTAATCATGCAAGCCGTTTACTTGAGGGACTTAACTTTGTACTAAATCACGTAAATCTTACATGTGAGGAAGAAAGCTGTGACCAACTTACATTCCTAAACATACATTTAAGGCGGAGACAGGATGGTTCCTCTAAAAACCTCAAAATTAAACTAGTATTTATGTCATATCTCAAACTAATTTATCTGTATGTGTGATTACACGCGCTTAGCAGGTGACGGTGAGAGATTATGATTATTGTTCCCTTGGGTTCCTAGTAGAACATAGGGCTTCAACTGCACGTCTCCACTTGCTTCTGTCTTCTGCTGTACTTTTCACTTGCATCCATGTTAATCCATACTGTTTCAATTCCTCTTCACACGATCTCCTCCATGTCACCCTTGAACGTCCCACTCGCCGCTTCCCTCTCGGGTTCCACTCGAGCACTGGCCTGACGCGCGATGTCACCCAACGGCCTCCTCAGCGAGTGTCCAATCCATCTCCAATTTCTCCTGCATATTTGTTGGGCGATTGGTTCTTGTTTTGTTTGTTCCCATAGTTTCTTGTTGGTGATTCTTTCCGGCCATCTGATCTTCAGTATAGAACGAAGACAGTTGTTGATAAAGGTCTGCAACAGCCTGTTGGAAATATTCTTTGTGACCCGCCAAGTTTCTGATCCGTATAGAAGAACTGACTGACTTGACATTTGTATTGAAAATCCGAATTTTGTTGTTGATGCAGGCTGAGTGACGAAGATTTCCAGATTGGTTTCAGGTTGATGAATGTGTTTCTCGCCTTCCCGATTCTCGATTTGACATCCTCATCCGTTCCTCCTGTAGTTGAGACAATGCTCCCTAGATAAGTGAAGGAAGTAACCTCTTTCAAATCCCTCCCGTTGATGGTGATTGGCGCTGGATGTTGCTGCTGTTGTTGTTGTTGTTGGTTGGTTATTTTCATAACCTCCGTCTTGTCTATGTTCACCTGGAGTCCTGTCTTTGCTGCTTCTTCGAACAGTTTGTCGGTTTTCACCTAGACGGTGAGAGAACACATATCTAAATGACTAGAAAACAAATGGACTTTGAAACCCCGTGTAAACGCAGGTGGCAGATTACCAACTCTATCTATCTCAAAACACTTAACTTATATGAATTCCAACTCTGATATGAAAACATTTCCGGATTATCTATTAAAGCGATAGGTATCTGTAAAATTAACCTCTCCATACGTGTAGGAAAACAATTTATTATTTCTCTTAACTCACCTTGGTAACGTTAATCTGATTATATTACAAAATCCTTTTTAGTCTTAAATCTCTTTCCATTTTGTTTATTTTAACTGGCTGTTGAATTTTTCCTATAAATTGATTTAACCAGCAAGTGTGTGGTCTGACTGTTCGAAATCTATCGCACAAATACATCCTATTTCTCATATAACCTCCGTCTTTTAATAACGCTATCTAAATTTATCATTTTCCTTTCCTTTCCCTTTTTCAAACAATTTCGGTTACACTGTTTTATAATTTAAAATCTTCGTTCCAATAATCTTCAAGCACAAACGAATTTCCTATAGCTAAATACACTAATACGCTCTTCTGCTTTAGTATTAATGACATTATTTTCCTCTAAATTACTCCACTAAATTCACTTCACAAAATGATTATTTCATTCTTCATCTTTGAACTGGCTTGTCAGGTTTCCTTTTCAACTCTGCATTAACTCACTGATTACTCACCAACATTGATTTCGCAATATTTTGTAAATGACTTCAACCCAACAGGCTTCCAATAGACACAATATTTCAATATGACATCATTTCATGGTTGCTCCGCAATCGCACTACAGCTCACGTGGCTGTCAGTAACAAAATGTCTGACAATTAATCAGCTGTATGAAAATGTCATGTTAATAGTTAATACTATCTTGGCATGTCAGCGTAGGCAAAGTTTAAAATTTACTATTTCACGATGGATGATGCTAGACTAAATGCTTTCGAATTTTCTGTTATTCGATAATCATGTTGGAACATGTTCTCTCGGATGACAATGAAACATTTTATTGTTTCTAAATGTTGTTTTGTCTCCGTAGTCGCGTGTGAACTTATAGATATAGTGTGATGTGGAGCTGAGAGAATTTCGTCCTCTAATCCCTAAGTTTCCCATTCAAATATTATTGCTCTTGATACCTGACAACTTGCAGCTATGATTTTGAATTCATAAACGTAATCGAAGTTAAAACACACCTACAACATACGTGGCTATTATTAAAATGATTTCAGATTTTATTGTATAACTATAAGAAACTAAAAGTAATTTATTGAAAAGAATATTTTTCCTTCAGACACACCTTTGATAACTTTAGTAACAGGATTATTTCGCTCATTTAAACCAAGGTGTATTCTTAATGGTTCTTCTAGCAGCTCAACCCTCTTGGTGAAAGCTTCAGGTGTTAAACATAGATTAGCATGAAACGTGGTTGAGCAAACTTACCTCAAATTTTTTCGCTTTGCATTTGCAATAAGAAACAGCAGCTTTGTTGAAAGTTCCTCCAAGTGTAATGATTGACTCCTTTTGATGTTATATATTAGCTGTCAACCACCAATATGAATATCTGGTCGTTCTTGATAGAAGGAACTGGGTGGTAATTAAAAGTCAATCAGCAAGGAGTGAGTCTTTAGTACACATTTCTCAACATCCTTACATATACATTTGAATTCACTTTTCTTGTAGTCAAACATAACATTCCAATTCAAATAAAAAGTCATAAGTAAATACTAATCAACACAATTGAAAAATTAGTGTGTAATGTGACAGTCAAAAACTTATCCGTACAATTGATTCCAGTGGTTAGTCTTGATTGTTGAGCGATTTTCACACACCCATGTAAAAATAGTAGAGCTTTTGTCAGAAATCATTTCACATTTTAAGTAAGGTGACAGGCTGGAATAAATCACTCCGTCAAACTGATGAATATGCAAGAAAGAGTTTCACAGTTTGCCTTCTTACAACCATAGGCTAGTGATGCTTTCCTGTTGTCACTAAAATATAAATATTAATCTAGCTAGTTCATATAAAAATCCCAAATATATGTGTCTGGACGATTTAATTCATTACTTTTGAAAGCAAAGTGAAGTTTAAAATTTGAAAGTTTTCTTTAAGACCTAATAGGGAAAACATTTCGCTCATTGTTAGCATTACTTATGCGTTACCAATCAGTCTTAATTCTGAGCTTAACTTCTACCAGCCAATATATTTGAAAAAGCCTTCTAGATTGACTTTTACAGAAGCAAAAGTGCTACCGTTTAACTTGTAAAAAACATTGAATCTTGTTGCTGAATGAACTTTAAAAGATTTTACATTTTATGCTATCAAGAAAGTGGAACAATTAATTTCCAAGTGAAAATACATGGATTACTATAATTTCACTTTGAAATTATTAGCAAGTAACAAAAGACAGTTATCACTTTCTTACTTTTGAAGCATACAAATATAGATTATTTAATCGAATTAAAATTAGCCAATCATAAAGATTTTCAGAAAACTCTTTAAGCCTTTTTCTTTCTTCTCCTACTTCTTTTCTGTCTCCCTTGTCGCATACAACAAAATGACATTCAAATAGGCATATGATGAACAGTAGCAGTAGTAGTAGTAGTTTAATGATAATAGATGAGAATGCTTAAAGATTTTCATGCATAGAAAAAGGAGAAGAGCAAACAAAATACTTTCATCATAATTAACTAAATGAACAAAACGTGATTAGGTAATAGAGTGAAGATGGAAAAATAAAACATATTAAAAGAGGATGTATTATGAAATAGATAACCATAATATTTGAAGTATTAATAGTAATACAGTTGGAGTACAAAGGAGAAAACCTCAGTTAGTTGTTATGCAATTGCCTACACGAAAAAACAAGATTTAAAAGTTACATTTTTTGTCTCAAGAAAATATCTGAAAAATGACTTTTCAAAAAAGGAAAAAAATTTTCACTTTACAATTTTGAAGTTTCATTTTTGTCTCAAAATCACGGAACCTGCTAAAATGGCACACTGTTGTATATAAGTATGACATCTTAAACAAAATTCTAGATATTTTGCTGGATTTTTTCTATAAAGGAGTGGACAGTTAGGAAGTTACAGTGAAAACGAGAAATTAAAAACTTAAAAAATTATCATACACATTTTGTTATAAAAGGATTCATTCTTTCAGTAGTGGAATGAAGATATTAAATATGCCTGAGATTTTCAAATACGTTTCTTTAAACAAATAGTTTTTGTGGCTGTAAGTAGTGGGTGAATGTATATGAACGCTAGTGAAATAAGAAGAAACAAATTCAGATGAATCGCACAAGAAGCAGAAATCGTGAGTGCAATTTAAGTGAAATGGAGATGATTGATTAATGAATGCCGATGACAGTATGAAGGAGTGGAACAGCTCATGAACAGAATTCCACTAAGCTTCATCATTTTCTGTCAGAATATCCCGGTCAGTATCACCTTTGGTCTGGAGTTTATTGTGGCCATACGATTACACAAATATGGAAAATCATAAAAAAGAGAGAAAGTAAATAGCTCGTAGTTCAGTGACTAACAGGAATACTTAGGAATAGTAATATAAAAAGTAGTGATTAAAACGCTTTCCTGTCCCGCAAAAATATCCATATAATAGATACCATAGTAACTTCGCCCAGTTTAGTAGGTCGCTAGTTTTCTAGCCGGTCTTAAGCCCGGGAAAAGAAGGAAGGTTAAACGTGCGCTTAGTGATCTCACCCCAGAAAATCAGTGCAAATGCTGCAGAAACTTCAAATCACATGAAAAATATAAAAAATTATATTTCTCCGGAACCACTCAAAGGGAATGATGCGGGCTAGTGAAAGCATTACGGCTGCAAGTTGGCCTATAAGTCTCCTTTCAGTGGAAGTAAAAGAAAGCATTGGGGTGTGGAGCGTTTGTACAATGTGCGAAATTACGAATGGCGCTCAGACTTCAAAAATAAGAATATATGTCATGCAAGTCCTAAGAGTCTGGAAGTGGAAACCCCAAATTATTAACTGCAGAGTCAATGATCTACTCCGGTCAGTAAGATTCAATTCAAAAAGAAGGAAAGTAACAGTTATGTAATGTAACCTCCTACAAACGACATGCATCAAAAGGAGAAAGAAGAATTCTGCAGACAACAGTGAAAAATAATCGATAAGTTCCCGAATAGCGACATCAAATTTCTTTCATCTCTTAATCAGCCTCATTCAACAGCCACATGACACTGACACGTGTCGAGTGATCCATAAAGGACAAGTCATCGAAGCGTTCGAAGTGAATTCAGGAGTAAGACGAGGCTGCCTATTATCACCTATGATATTCCTCATTGTAGTGAACCGGACTATGCGTCAGACTGTGTGTTGGGAGTGAGAAGTTAGGAACACGTTGGAATGACCGGCAAGAAGATTCTAGAAGGTCTGGATTTCACGTGTGAATGATTAATGTCTGATGCCACATAAATTCGGAGACATACAGACGACAACCATCAAACTAGCAGAGGAAGCAGAGAAGACAGGACTGCAGGTGAACATAGGGAAGACGGAGGTGATGAAGACAACCAACCTACAGAAACAGCAACAGCAACAACAACCAGCACCAATCACCAACAACGGGAGAATTTTGAAGGAGGTTACTTCCCTCACTTATCTAGGAAGCATTCTTTCAACCACAGGCGATAACATGGATGAAGATGTCAACGCTAGCCAGAATCTGAAAGGCAAGGCAGACATTCGTCACTCTAAAATCAATTTTGCAATCTTCTGCACTCAGCCTGAAGAGCAAGATTCGGATTTTCAGCACCAGAGTTAAGTCAGTCAGTTCTTCTATGTTGGTTGGAAGGTTGGCACGTCATGAAAAGTATTTCTCACAGATGACTGCAGACTTTTGTTAATGGCTGTCCTTGCTGACTCTCTGGTGAAGATCAGATGGCTGATCAAAAAGAGTCAGCCAAAAGAAACTCTGGAAGCGAACCTTTCAACAAATTTTCGGCCTGCAAATATTCTGACAGAAATGGAGATGCATTGGACACACGCTGATAAGACTTTTTGGTGACACTGCACACCTGACATAACCTCGAGTGGAACGCAAGTGGGCGTCAGACGGTGACAAGACAGAGATTGTGTAAAGGCGGAGATGAAAGCCTATGCGCAATCGTTGGGCCAGATCAGAAGCACTGCAGAGAACAGGACAAAGTGGAGAAGTGCTGTTGAAGCCTTATGTTCCACTCGGGTCCCAAGGGAATAATAATATTAATAAATACAGTGATAACATTGGAGTTTAATTTTGCTAGAACACTGTCAGGCTATCTATTTGGAATTGTTATAACAAATAGGAGTGCAGTAACTGTTACATTCTTTTGGTTCAATTTCTTCAATAATCCATTTGTTTAGTTGCTTACGTTTTTCCCTCAATTTCTAGATTGACGTGAGTGACGAGGGCATAGAGATAAATTTTAGACAGAAAAGAAACCCAGGGTTTATTATTTGAAAATCGAGGTGTGTGTGTATAAGTACGTGACTGCAAGTGAACAGCATTTTGCCTGTATGCAGGCTATAAAAATCAATATATTTCTGACTCTTTTGGCTGATATAGTATTTTTGGACTAGTTTGATGATGCAGAGGAATGAATGAGCAAGCAAACAAATAGTCGAGAGAAATGAAAAGTAAGTACAGTGTTACTTGTTTTTCACGACTTAACAATTATTGAACCATTATGAATTTGCATCAAACGTCAGCGTATACTAAAATAGCTTTAATTGAGTTAAACTCACACATACTAGCACTTCATACAGCTAGTGTCTACTGTTAACATGATTTGCAATAAAAAGTGAAGATTTACTGAGTTCTTAGTGTATCATGCTTACTGCTTATTTTGAAGGGAATAATATTTGAACAGCTATTTATGTCTCTCTTATTCCAGACAGAATAAAGTACTTATCTATACAAAAGAACATCAAATGTAACCATAAACCCACCTTGAATATAATAGGTGGAAGATTCACCTTTGGCAACCCTTTAAAGCCAGCTTGTGCAAAATGTTCACCTTGAAGAAATTCATTCGGTTCTAAAACAACACCACTTGAATTTGTATAACTTGGTGATGATTTTATGTGTACACCACCCATTTTGTTATAATTTTCACCCGTGTAGTAAGTATTGCCACCACTAATATCCACTTCATTATCATCTAATGCACAACTAGTTACTTGATTCTTTCCGGATGTACTTTGCACAAGTTTCATGTACTTGTATTCGAGCCTGAAAACAGGAGAATATGAAAAAACATTAAGTCGTATAACCGAAACTGATTTCAATTAAATATCAGGAAATTCTTCATTTAATTTTACATAATGAATTTATAACCCAGGTCTGTGAGTTTAAAAATGTTTTAACTAAGACACTACTGTTTGAAAATGTAATTTCTATGTGTTACGTTAATCACAAGTCTTCTAAGCCACAAAACGAAACCTAAAACGGTGCCAATTATTTGGATCAAGATAAAAATTGTGCCTGTACCAAGATCTTTATTTTCTGGGTTAGGGTAAACTCAGAGCGAACTGCGATTCCCTCACCTACAGAAAAATTACTTTTTACTTTCTCGTGAACCCTTGTTAAAATCCTCTACCTATCATAAACAATTTTATTGTTAAATGTAGTAGAAGTACTTCAGATGCTACCATTGTAGTGCTACACTGTATTGTTTCCAACTTGGCTAAAGATGCAGATTCTTTCCGATCTGCCTTCTTAAACAATATCGCTGTTTCTAATCTTACTTCTAGGCCAATTCTGATAAACACTGTGACTTCAGAATGCACTGGACCCTTGGTCGCATGGTGGTTTTCTTATTTTCTGGGCTGGAAACAATACACTGACTTTAACTGGGAACCCTGCACTTCACTGCTTACTCATACTGTTATGCTTCAGGGTAATGTCCTTTTCCCACTTCTTTTTATTTATTTCACCATGGCTTACTAGTTTCATTAATTATGCTGACGGATTGATAATCTTTATCCCATCCGTTAATTCGTTTTTCATGTGAATAATTTCCTATCTGAAGGTTACCAGCGGTGTTATTTTAAGAGTTTTAAACTTGAACCCTGTAAAATTTGTACTGTTAGTTTTAGTTCCAGGCATTAACAAGAATTAATCCACTGTTTCATTCCCATGGTTTCTGCAATCTTGACGGTATTATTTTAGAAAATTAACTAAATATTACTCATTTAGGTATTAGATTTTCTTGATCGTCCTTTATCCTGTTGATTTAAGAAAAATCCTATCTCTGACCAACTATATAAGAAAACTGAGACTTTCTAGTATAACCAAGACTCTTCTTCTAAAATGCATTAGTTCATTTATTTATCCCATTATTTTTCACTTTTCCTTCTTATTCAACGGTGGGATACTGGAGAAAAGCTATCCCATATCATTTGGGGATCGGAGGGTTGTAAGTAGGGTGGTAAGTAGTGTGCCTTCAACCCAGCTAACTGACATTGTTGTTAAAAAGCATTTTAGTTCATACAATCCGTTGGCTAACGTTACCATTTAAGATGGTGAACTTCTCCTTTATTAACAACTTTCTTCCTGCTTCTCTTCAGAAAAAATTAGAAGCGGTTCCATTAGAATTTGCGCTCGCACAGTTAAATATAAAAATTCAACGATACCTTATGTAGCATTGACGTTGTGCGTGGAGACGAATTTCAGGGAATTATAATCTACAAAATAAACAGCTACTTATTTCTAGCAACATTATTACTCACATTAACATTCTAATAAAGTTCAATTTTTGTGGTTAAATATTTCGGTTGTAAATATTTAAAAGCAGTCAGTTTATGGTAGTATGTGCAGGCTGAAAATTCTGTTTCGTATATTATTCTTTGAAGAAAAAGTCATTATCACTATTATACTTTTTCAAAAATTGCTGTCAGGATCTGTATTACTTGATGTAAGAACAGTAAATAATTATCTGAAATTTTCAAAATGTTTCTTATAAATAAATTACGCAATAGGTCAAAATAAGCTGAAATTTTTGACCTACTCATTACGATCATTTTAGTCTTAAGATTACTTAGCTACAAGAAGAAATAAACAACTAACTTATGTTGTACTTTTGCAATAATTTAAAAATTATTCCTTGCCAAAAAATACATTGTGTAACTGCACTGAATGAGTAAGTGGATAAAATAAATAATATACGGCGTGGGAAACTGTTCTAACAAGGACAGAAACTTATGGGAAACGAAAAAGACCATTTTCTCATTTGTTCAAACTGATGTTTTAAATTTCCTGTTATCAGACATTTTTAATTCATTTCTTGGTTTATGTGATGACGCAGCTATAAAATGATATGCTTTAAATACTTGGAAAGACATTAAAATTGTCCCTCTCCCTAAACCTGGAGACGGCAGGAACATAAAGTTCAGACCCATTGCCATCACTTCCCCGTTTCTAAAGCTTATGGAAAAACTAATACTTCTTAAACTTGAGCCCTCCCTTAAAAACTTTGAAGACCCCAAACAATTTGCCTACAGACAGGGTAGGAGTACATTAGACGCTGCAGCTGTCTTACACAACAACATCGTCTCATCATTAGATAAAGGTGCCAAATACGTCCGCTGCACGTTTCTCGACTTCACTTCTGCTTTCGACTCTGTACCTAGATGTCTCCTGCTAAATAAGCTCTCTTTGACAAAAACTGAGTCCTGGGTCACTAACTGGCTGCATTCCTACTTCTCTAACAGAATGCAGTACACCGTATACAAAGGTAAATCATCCTCTGCTGTACTCACTGAAGCCGGAGTCCCCCAAGGCGCTGTACTCTCCCCACTTCTCTTTTCTTTCTACATGACTTACCATCTTCAAATGACATTAATTTTGTCAAATATGCTGACGACCTGTCTGTATCTTTGCCTGTCAAATGTCAAAGCGACTGCTCTAAACTTTCTGTCAGAAATCAGCCAGTGGTCCAAGGAAAGCGGTCTTACCCTAAACCCCTCCAAATGCCAAACAGTCAATTTCACCTTTAGGCATAAATCCGACCTAAACAAACTGGTTGGCTCTCACGAGGTATGCAACATAGATGGCACTGAAATAGAAACCAAATCGGAAATTAAATACCTAGGCGTCATTCTATCTGCTGATCTCTCCTGGTCGTCTCATATCTTGGCGATTTCTGAGAAAATATTCCGTCTTACCTTCTACATCAAGAAGTTAAGACTTTCTGGTATAACCCAACCCTTACTCCTACAATTCGTGAATTCTCGCATTCTGTCTATTATTCTCTATTGTTCCCCCTTAGTTTTTCCAGGGCTACTGAAGAAAGACTATAACATATTACGCAGGATGTTAAAGGTTGTCAGCAGGGTAAGCAACGTGACACTTAACCAGCTTGTTAATATTCTGGTTGACAGGCACATGGACTCATGTGAAAAATGGGCCAAATCCATTTTATCTAACTCACACCACCCTCTTCATTCACAACTCTCCCCTTGCATCTCATCAGGAAAAACCAGAAGCCTATATAGAAAACTATATGCTCGCACCAGCAAGTACAAAAACTCAACCATACCCTACTTAGCTCATGTTCTGTGTGATAAAGAAAGCATTAGGCGTGACACCTATAATTCATTAAATAGTCAGTAGTACAACTGGACTTCGTCCTTCCAACTCATATCATTTATAGGTACAACATTTTCTTTCTTTCTTTTCCTTTTCTCTCTCTATTTTTTTTCCGTTATGTGCTGCTTTGTTTCTTTCTCTCGCTTGCGCCATTAAATATGACAGCTCCTACTTTTCTAACACCTTCAAACACTGTTCAGCCTTACCTTTGCTACCGATATGCCAGTGTGTTGTTGTAATAATGAAATGAGATTTCCTCAATCTATGTAGAATTCTATTTATTAATTATGTAATAACTGAATGCAATACTGTAGTAAAAATGCTGAGAATTCCATTCTGTATCACATGTACTGCTTTGGAATAAAGCAAATTATTATTATTTCGCGTTACTCCTACCGTACGACGCATTCATCCGTATTGAAAAATGAATGTGAAAATAAAATTTTAGGGATTATAAACGGATAATATGAATTTCCAATCATTTTTGAAGAGTTATTATTCATGGGAAGGATCAAGGCTGCCGCGAAAATTGAAAGACAGACAGACGCCGAATAATCAGTGTCACAAAACTAATACATACATTTCAATCAGCTTGTTTCTACGAATCATTATGTTCATACTGTAGGCTAAAATCAGTATTGCAGGTGGATTATATTAAAACGGACATGCATCATTTGTACGCAAAAAATTGATAAAACATCGTGTTGATTCACTGACAAGCTGAAGTATTAACAGTTGAGATACACGTAAAAATTTAATCAGTCTTTAAATAATTATAAATGATAAGCAAGTGAGTGGTTAGAACTTTTCTCATGATACGTTGATTTGGATTTCTGACTATCATTGCACGACTACGTGACGTTTTTAAACAAACGTGTTATTTATTCCCAGTTGACTTCACATATGACTACTATCATTCCACATGTTTTTCAATATGCAAATATTTAGAAGGAGATTTCAGAGGACACTACTGTTTAAATAGAGTGCATTTAGTTAAATTTAGCTTCTGAAAACTGTTCAACTAAAGGGCAGTTTTGTTCATTCCAAATGTTTAAGTATAAAAATTCCATAGTAAGCGTGAAATAAGTCAGTTGTTATTTCCCGATAAAGGACAGTGAAAGTGATAATTTGCAGTTATTATTTTTAGTGTTATTGTAGTTGAACTACGAAACTGTGATTGTTCTAACAAAACAACAGCTTCTTAATATATGTGTGAAACTTGGGCACTGTGCTAGTATGTAATTTCATATTAGGTTGTTTATTAGATATATCACACAGTGAAACAGTATTATTTGTTGGAAGTCATGTGATTACAATTGATATGATTATGAACAATAAATTGTATTCGAAACGTCGAAACACAAAAACGATGAAGGAGAGATAGAAAGTTGATTATTATTCTATTTTCTGTCCAATGGTAATATGTAGTGTGCTATCTAGATTGGTCTTTTACTTGCCCCAGTGTAGATAGTCCCACAGGTGTCCCATTTATCTGTTCATGCATTTGAATAGGGAATTGAAAATATGTCGGAGGACGTAGGTAAATGTGTCAGCCCCATCCAGCTTAAACAGTGTTTAAATGTGTTTTATAGATGTGATAAACATTTATGACTAGTTTTTATACGTTTTCTTTGCCAGCTTGTGTCTATTTGAAATAATATCACGTGACACCAAAGGATATCAGAATTTCATCGCCTAAATGAATGTTTTTCATCCCATTTCGGAAAATGGCTTGGCAGTTTGACAGAATTACCCCATGACTTTGTTAGATATTTTAATTTTTTGTAGAGTTCTTTGGGTGTGTTGTTAGTAGGGTGCTTGTGAATGGTGTTCGATTGAAGTGAGAAATCTTTTTGATTCAATTTGAGGTTGGTCAGAAAACTTTGGCGAAACGAATGCGTTGTTCGACAGTGGCTTTACTTAAAGGGACTTCTACCTACTTTTATTTAGCCACTAGCAGGTATTATTTTATCTAAGCAACTCCTCTGCTTTCTTGGTGTAGTCTGCCTTGTTCTTCAGTAGAGAACTAAGTATTATGAACTTTAGCCTAACAATTTAAGGTATCTTGCTGTTTTTCTTCACCAAATCTTGACAACTTTAGTGATAATTCTAGGACAAAAGTAAGTTTACTTTGAGATACCGACAGTGCAGTATTCTACTCTTTTTAGAAACTTATTTCATTCTTGAAAATAGCTGACTTGATAACTTAACCATTTAATACTCATTTTGTTGCCTTGCAGTCAAGTTTACTTTCTTTCTGATTAAATCATACTGTGTTGTACTGTACAAATTAGTTGTGTGGGTAATTCTTTTAAAGAATTCGGTGATTTTTAAGTGTTTTTGACAACATATCAAAATCTCTTGGAGTTGTAGTGGGATAAAAAGATCAGTGAAGTGACTGTAATTGTTTGAGAACGCCAATTCTTACTAGTGACACTGGGTGACAAATTAACTTAAATTTAAACCCTGATGCTGAGATATCCGAGTGAGTGTGGCATTACTGCCATACTATGCTGAAGACTGTCCAACTAAAAAATGACAGCTGTCAAATGCATTTCAGATTTTGGCAACTGTAGAGATTCAGCAGAATGTAATAAATTAGCTTTTGTACCTTTACGTTGTCATCCATTTACTGTTTTAGTTTATTTTTATCAGAAGTTGGTATTGAGAAGGTGCTTTTTGAAATCCAAAAAGCTTCAAATTAACACTACATTATCTCAGGGGAATGCAGAAGTAATAATAAGAACAACTTACGTCTTATTTCGGCGATAGCATACAAAAATAATCAATCCCAAGATAATCAGGACAAAAGTAGTTAGAAAGATAGCCGCAATTTGAGCCTTAGTCAGTATTGGACACGTTTCAATAACAGTAAGATTTCTGCCAGGTTCAATTCGACATTCCCTAATGTTAATTAAAAAGCAGTTAAATGTATTGTACATATATTATTTATATGAAACTTCAAGTAATACTTCGGTATACATTACAGTGCATTACTTCAGAATATTTAAACATCTTTTATTTAAGAAATGCGGAAATGTATCATTTCGTTAAATGTTGTTTCTGTTCTAACAAATACCGCCTTAATCGTAAAAATTCGTTCGTGATTTCATTTCGTGTAATCCAGCGACATCGATGCTGATATATCAGTTCACTTCTTAAACAGCTCCTACTTTAGTATACTTTCAACGTTTGATTTTAATTTTCTTTGTGAAATGCACAGGCGAATAGATGAAGCAGCAGTGAGTTCCCTCCTAGGATGCTTTTAGATAACCACTTTATAACATATGTACAGCAAGAGGTTATCAACAGTAATCAACAAGCTTTATTTCTATTCAAGATACGTTAATAATAACTTTGTTATGTCTAATGCAAATATCAATTTTGAAAAATTGGTGAACGTGTTTGATAATGCCTACTAACAGGTCAAATATAATCTAGAATGAGAGTAAAACTCTGAGTTTTACTTCCCTTATATTTAACTTCTATTAAAGGATACAAGGATAACTCCAGAGACCAACTAAAAGAAAGTTTAAATGAAATTGACAGCCTGTTAATTTGTTAATTGCAATTTCTCTAGGCGAAAAAGGAAATCAGCGCCACTCGGTTACCTCAAAGATAAAAAAAATAAACACTGAGGACGGAATTGATGCAAAATTTCAGAAGTGTCCAGATTCGCCACTCCAACCAAATTATTTCATACGATACTCAACGCTTAAGGGTGAGAACGAATTATTTTACTAGCTTATTTGACTGTACAGTGCCTGATACCTCGAGATTACTGTATTTCATTGAGGAAACAAGCTTCACTAAGATAGGGTAATAACCTACTGTGGAGGTTAATTACTGACCTGTCTTCAATTAAGAACATGAAGAGTAAACGTTAAGTCACATATCATAATTAATTTCTGTGCTAACGAATTAGACTGTGATGCAAACTCTATGGTTATTTATTTTATTACTGACTCATACCAAATTGGGGATACATTATGAAGAGGAAATACTCTTCATCATAGCTAAAATCAGAGTTGAAGATGTCTCTATACTGGTAAACAAAATGATATCATGAGGACAATATGCATCCTAATGAAAAAAAGAACTCACTGGCCTAAGTAATGCCTATGTCCGATGCTATTAAGTGGATGGTTAATCTTAAGACATCAATGAACCATCCGTACTAGGTGTATACACAGCTAGTGTCTCTCATTTAACAACACAGTGTCAAAGTATTTAGATAAGCAATTAGAGCACAAATATGAAATTATATGATAATAGAAATCAGAATTGAAAACACTGAATACTCTTATTTATCGTGTAACACCTACCATGGAGCACGGAGATGTACTTTTCTGTAACCATATACGCATTCACCTAAGATTCTTTCATAATCATTTTCTCTACACATGCGACAAGCATACATAGTAAGCCATAAGAAGTGATAATTACATCCATCACATGTCCCATCAGGACAGGCTGGCGGTAATTCAATTTTGCCATAAATGTAGTCTGGAATATCTTGAATTTGACTCATAAATTTACTAATTTCTTGTGTGAATACACATCGAAGTGTTATCACTGACGTTCTTCCCAGAGGACAATTTGAACTATGGCTAAAGTTAAAAAAGACATTTTTGCAATTAGTTAACTAGTATCCTTAAAAAAATCAAATGATTTTGTGAGTGACTATTATACTGACAACTCATAAGTAAAAAGTAAAGTATTTCATACATCTTCACTTAATGTCATTGTTTGAATGTCTTTCTACCTGTAGGATTAGACAGCAGTAGGTCATTTATACACATTCTAACCTATGTTACGTAGAAATAAAATTTATTGGTCAGCTTGTTTAGTATGTGAGACTTAACTAATCTTCACATGAAAAGATTTCAGTATTATGGAAAGAAGTAGTAGGAGAACAAACAATTTATTGTAACTTGAAGGTGTAGCGATTTGACGATTTGAAATTTTTTTAATGTTTAGACAAATTTCATCTCCTAATGTTCCAATAAATTAATCGATAAGAATTTGACTAACCAATCAAAAGCGACTACTTACGTGAAACTGTCTTTATTGTTGACGATAACTGATAACTCCTACCAGAACACACTTAAAATAATATCTAAGTATCCCATATATAAATGCTCAGAACTGCAAAGCTTGCACGTTATCAAGAAATGATAACAATACACTAACTATCGAGGTATACTATCGAAATTCACGGAATACTGACAGTTAGGAAGATAACTTTTCACAACTCTGAAAAATTGTGTATATCTACAGATAAACTTCAAATGTCTAATCGCATAAGCGAATTTAAATAAGGTATTCAGCCATTAGAACTATCTGCACAATCTCCACAATTTATTGTTCTAGTGGTTTAATTGTGATGTATAACTAGTCACTTTAGTCAGACATATGGCAAGTTGTGTTTGTATTTTAACCTGATTTCGGATGGAAATGACAAGTTCAATGTGTATACATCACTATGGATTAAAATAATGAGAAATAATTGAATAACAGTAATTAATATTGACTTTATGACTAGTTGTCACTATATTTATTATTTAATAGGAAATGTCCTGTTTCTATAATAATTAACAACTTTTGAGTTAATTATATGAATAAAGTCAGCTAATATTTAGAAACAAGCTTTTTTCGATAAAAATAGAAAACTCTGATGTCCCTACCAAAATAATTTTTCTCACAACTAGAGTTGAATTCAATTATATATTGTGATCTATGGTCAAGAGAATATCATTAACTCATTGAGCTCTTCATGGGAGGAAATTTCTAGGAGAATTGAAAAGACGCAGTTTAAAAGGCACAGTTCATAGGAGACTGAAGCCTCCAAGTTGTCAATCATATGACCCAGTCGTTTTTATGTTTGTTTACTGTCGTCATTCTCAAGGTGATAAAGCTATTAGCAGCATTAAATAGCGAAACACCAGTAAAAACAATATCATTTTCTTTTTCATTCATTGGGAAATACAAAAAACCTTTATTATATGGAATTGCTGATAGGAAGCCTACCATGAGAGTATACTACATGGTAGACAAATGCTTGAAGTACTAATCAATGAGAAATCTTGTGTTATTTCGGTTCTAATTAAGTTACATTATTTCACATCTTAGGTCATCAGCATCTCTAATTATTTGCCAGTCATAAATTTCTTTTAAATGATCAGTTATGCCAAAGCACAAAGGCACATAATATCCATCTTCTGCATTTTTTAAAACATCCCTTAGATCACAATTCATAAAATCCGATCCAGCTTCATCTAAATTCCTTTCTCATTAACAACATAGGCATAGCTTTGCCTTATTTCGCATTAATAACCACTTAGAAAAGCATGGTGATAAAAATATATGAACCGTTACGCAAATTCACCTCATTTGACTTACACCTCTGTGATCGACTTCCTTTAGGGAATTATTTGATGCTCATTGAGACGTGAATATACTTCTTGAGATCATGAGTTTTTTCATCAAAATATAATATTAGCTGTAAATGATAGGGCCCTATTATAAATCACAATTCATAGGCTGAAGTGATGAGACAGGTAATACGGACGAACGGGAATAGATTTTCTAACCGAATTACAAATGTTGGTTCAGTATTACTAAGCAATCTGTGTTGGCTTCTGCAAATTCTGGAAGCTGTGCATCAGTGATAGGATCCATATCTTAATTAAGTTCTCATTCACTGCTCTCTGATGTTAAGTAACCTAGATAGCTTTCAGAAAATTTTTATTTCCACATATCCCAAAATTTAGCTAAAGTAGGAATTTTCTAAAAACCATCTGCCATGTAAATACAATTGCAATTTCAGTGGGTTATTAAAACATCCGAGATATTTTACAGGCAGCAAAACTTACTCATCAGATGTAAATATGTAATGCAGATCGTTACCAGTTTCTATGATGAACGGAGAAAATGCAAAGAAATAAAAATTATGTGAGTATTAGGCTGATTCTAGTTGATAGAGAAAGGAAACAAGTAAGATTGATGAAAAAGAAACAAAATTTGACGGCTAATAGGTGTGCTTCAGAGGGGAAGATGGGGATTTATACACAGAGGGACTGTTCTAAGTTATATGTAAATTTCATTCAGTCATGCATACAAATTAGATTAAAGCCACCTGGGAATTATCCAACCAGGCTGGTGATTTAATGCGCTAAAATTTATTTCCTACAGGGTATTTTTTGTGTATGTATGCCTTTTTAGGCAATATCTCATAGCAAGTACATAAATGAGTTATTCGAGAACGTCTCAGTTGCCGGAGTATGTGTATGTGAATATACGTTGATGAGTTTTGGTAACCTTTATAATCTAAAATGACTGGTGTTTATACAGGAAATCAATTTGAAGATTTAGGAAACTTTTGTTCATATAGTGAATACATATTCCACATTGTCCTTAGATCAATACAGATGACCGTTTTCTTGCATAGAAAGGTATGACAAAAGTAATTTTACTTGATGAAAGGAGACTCTATAAAAGTCACATTTTAACATACCAAAGGATACGCTTCATATGTTTACAACCGAAATTCGAAGAGAACTTCAATTCTGATGAACAGAAGCCAGTGACAGTATGGGCGTGCAGTGCCTATATATTCTACGTAGATTAATTACTAATAAATGATGTAACAGTTGTAAATGCAATAATCTCATTACTTATGTAAGTGAATCTTGACCGAACAACACAGTATGGTCTGCATTAATGCTAGAATTTCCTTACCTGCTAGACAGAATTTCTGGTATCTTCACGTTTTCCTGGAAAAATAATTTAGTTGTGAAACTCCTATTATCATTCGACACCACCTTACCAAACAGTGAGCCTTTTCATTTCTGTCGCTGAAAATAACATTTAAATCTTCACAGCTGAAATATGCATCCGGCAGAAATCTTGAACAGTTGGATTACAGTTGTCAGTCTTTTTATTAGGACTTTCACTTCCTAGAATGCTGACTGGAATTAAGAAAAACTGGTCTAACACAGAATTCACACCGGTGACTTATAGGATATCAATCCACCGGTCGACTGACTGCTCTAAACATGTTTCAGTGTAATGTTAAGAAGTGACAAATAGTCATTCACTCTTTATATGTGAACAGCCACTTAAGTGCTTTCAAGTGTCATGTATAGCCGAAGTAGGATGGATGTGAAATTCGTTCATCATTTAGTACGTTTTTGAAATCCTTCCTAAGCACACAGATTTTCCAGTACAGTAAAAATGAAAGACTGGAAATAAAACTGAGGAATCGATCGGCGGGCAGCTGTGCCGAACTCGTTGCCTGCAGCCCGAGCATTTCCTTACAATAACACCAAACAACGAGGACTTCAAAAGCCATAGCAGTAGATAATAACTAACACCTGTGGCTGTCACAACTCACTAGCCTAGCAGATCACACGTTGACGTTCTGAATGCTGTGTTGGGTTCTAGTCCCAGTGGTAAGACCATCATTCACAGAGGCACAGGCGTAAACAGATGCTGAGTGTCAAACAGGACGAAAGGCATGTCAGGACTTCACTGTTAGCCACCTTCAACCAAGGGGCATCATAGTTACATGGTGTTTTAAAAGAAGTTAGAACAACGTTAACCAACTTCTGAGTACGATGGTTAAGCGTACGCTGTTGTACCGACGTCACAAATATTAGGTTTGAAATGATATTGTGGTTACTGAAAAAAGGATCCGCATTCAGTTTTAACACTAAAATCCTTTAAGACTGATTTCTGATTTAAAATGATAAGAAAACATAAGTCATGGAAGAAAGAAATCATGATCCTTGGTGAAGGGAAGACAAAGTATTGGGTAAACGCAAATATAAGTCTAAACCCCTATGAAAGTCTCACCACGTTCTACCTGACAGTGTAATATTTTGCATGAATAGATATACATGAGAACACAGTAACCGAACAGAAAAATTTTAATTTTAGAATTCACTTTATGGCTAAAATAATGCTGTTATTGTAAAATATTTCCCTGAAACCTATAACCCTTAACGTAGTAAGTCTTTAACCCAAATATGCATTCGCTCAAATCTATTTCTTGAAAATGAAATAAAATGTATTAGTTGCAGCTGAGATCGGAAGTGAGGATCTGACTTTCATTCTGTTTGGAGCTTATCAGTTAAATATAACTGATTAATGCTACGCCTACTAAGACTTTGATCCGGCAAACATAATTTCAAATTGTGAAGCAGCATCTGACAAGCCAACAAAGTCCTGGGTCTGTGAGGATCTGTTATGCCTACCTTGAAGCATATATTTTATTAAAAAGAACGAACAGAAGTTAACTTACTATCTTCATCCCATCCTGCTTTTGTTAAATTAGCATTTATTTCTTGCCAAAACTCCGGTGTCGTGTTACTTGGTACCATACGGACAAGACGATCGGCTAATCTGAATTAGTCAAAGGAAACAAAATTGTGAAAATTCTTAATTCATTAGAAAACAATTATGGTGGTAATAAAAGCAAGAATATCTTAATATGTACAGTTCCATCAGCTTATTGTTCTACATGTGTTTGCAAATTATCATGACTATTCACACAGCTGTAAATGTTTATTAGAGAAAGGTAAAAACAACAATGAAAAGAGATAGTCGTAAATTATTGCTTGATTATGAGGCTATAGGCGTAACTCTCAATCTATCAGGGAGTCATTTATTATGCCCCAGGAAAAAACTGAGTTTACAACTATTGTTTTAATCACTGTTATCATGAAAGCCACAAAAGTCCGCCAATAATCCCATTGCATTCCTCTTAGCGTTAAAAAACCTTAAAAATTAGGCTAATTATACCAACTTCGAGGTAAAGGTAGTTATTTTGATGTAGTTGTGTTCTCTAGGCTAGGTAATTTAATCATCCACCTGAGCTAGAAATCCTCTCTGTTATCCTATAAACGTAGTTACCGATCATAATCGGCTGAATATCTAATGACAAGCAAGTAATACAGGATTGAGATTAACTGAATGCAAAAATATCGCATGCATGGCAAAATTAATGCAGCAGAACTTCCTGAAGATTTGGTCATAATTTGGAATCCACAAAGTTATATATATATATATAAATTGAAAAATGAGAAAAGTGGTCGCCCCTTATCACGAATACTAAAATGTTGGAAATCACTGTAGATAAAATCCCGACTCATTGACTAAGTTACGTATTAACTTACATACCCAGTAGACTTAGATTCACCCTACACAGTCTTTGTAGACCTAAATAACTGACGGATGCGGCACGATTTTCAATAAATTTCCCGTTACCGCATATCTTTTGCGATGAAAACCTTCAAAATAATAACAATCAAAGGCAAACGAAATACCTTTTGTAATTTTTACTCACTGTTAAAGTGTTACTCAAATAGATTCGTGAAAACTATCTTTTACTGTGAATCACTTGGTTAATCACAACACTCATTAAACTAAATGATATTTCATAACATATTCATCAATACATTTGGGGCATAATTCCGGATGCTTTCCCAGAGTAATCTGACAAAAGTAGATGGTAGTGACGTAATACTAATAACTCAGTGAAGTCAGAATAATGTAATGGAAATTTTCAGTTTTCCAGTATTTTATAAATTTATATTTGTAATATCTCAGCGAAATTGAAATCCAGTACTTTGTTGACATAAGTGGATTGATGAGTCCTCATTGGCATAATATTTAATATCAAAACACCTCCATTTTTTACTTTCTGAGGACTTCTTTCTAGAAAATGCAAGGACACATTTTTCGTATGGAGGAAACGCGAGGTGGATTTTCATGTTTTGCAATTCTTTAATATTTTTCATTGAACTAAAACACACTATATAACCAGTAATCACCTCAGATTTCCACAGTTACAGGAGAACTCAGAAATTCCACTGGCAAACTTCTAATACCATATTTCACGTTCTAAACTCTGTGGGAGAGAATACCAGTACATAGATGTGTCCTGCTGAGGCAAAATGAAAGGAAGATTGTAACGGAGACACGATCCGGACTCGGTTATTGTTCCACGTATTTTAACAACACAGTATGGAAATACCTTATCATATCATCAAGGGAAGTAGTTCCTTTGCAAAATAGAACATTAGAATTATTATTTCTCAATAGTTTTACAGCTACTACCTAACTTTAATAAATATTATAAGTTCGTAAATAGATTAAAGAGTTAATATCAGTAGAAAGTTTGAGCATTGTGGATTAGATCAAATAAAGTATTATTATATTTCAATAGTTTACACACGATGATAAGTTTTGTTATTGGTGTGTGCAAACTATTAAAATATAATTATACTTTATTAGATTAAAGAGTCCTCAAACTTTAAGAACGTACATTACTTACCTTGTCGGTTTGGAGTACGCTTTACCAAGGTTATGATTCGCTAATTCAAGGTTTGTATGTCGACATATCAGTGCTTGCACGGTGTACTGATCCTGGTGAAAATCACATGGAATATACAGTAAAATATAAGAAATCGAGTAGAGTTTAAATACGTTTCATAACTTTACTACTTGTGAGTAGCATGAAATAGAAAGGAAAAGTTACCAAGGCTGGAGTTAGTACTAAAGCCACTGGTGATAATTGTATGCACCAAAATCAGCAAAATACTTTTTCCACAACAGTCGAAAGTAACATTTATGATTAACAGGAACTCCATTTCTATATATTTTAAGATTTCTGTATTTTTCGGTCATCAACCAGAATGCTTTACAATCCATCAAGATTAGATGCCTGGTCCATAAGAAGTAGTAATTACCTAAATTGCACAATTACTTTAAATTCACAAAATGACTTTGCAGTTAACACTCTAGATCATTAAGTAACAATACGGAAATTATCAAATTTCAGAAGTTCCTAAAGAATATCAGACTGTGATTTTGTTTTTCTAAATGACTGACTAGATATATATTCAGTTAGGTCCCACTTGCTGAAATACGATGTTTACACCGCTACGACTCAATGTTTGGAAATCATACAGTTTATTTAAACCATTTAGCTATCAGCTGCTTATTAGTAATTTTCATATACGATCAATGAGGAATCCTTAAAAATCAGGAAAGATGATGCTTCATAAAATAAGAAACAGTTAGTCTATATTAGTCTGTGACCGAGGTTCTACAGTCATATGTTTGTGGGTGCGTACTGATGAAGAGTTCCAAACTAGGACGAAACAGCTTTCCAGTACTCCCAGGTTTTCCAGTGGTTCTCTAACTGATGTCAGCTCATGATGAAATCCTCCATCCAATCAAACAAAATCCCTACAAAACCAATATTTGATATTTGAATATTCATAAGTTGTTCTAATCATAATGCAATCATCAAAAGATGAATACCTCACTTGGCTGATTGTAAGGCGTACTGTGATTCTGGATAAACACTTAAAAATTGTGGACAGTTTACTAGTTGAAATTTGTTAACCTTCACGAAAAATCCTGTGAACGTTTTTAATTTATACTGAAGATGGGTGATATTAGCCCTGTAGTTTGTTACGGTACCCGACTGCAAAAATATAAAATTGGCACTCAAATGAGTCAGTATACCATTGATCCCAACCAGAAGGTCTGGAATAGTTAAGAGGAAAACTGACAACAGGGGTTCACACTTCAAAATGTGAATTGAAATTTGAAAACATATATACAGAGGCAAGAATTAGGTCTCCGCCATATTCCATGACAACTTGGTGTACAAACATAAAAATACATAATAATTAGTTGAGTTCTATTAAAAATTTTGAGCTCAACAAATTATACCGTCTTCAAATAAAAGTGAATCTTTCGAAAAAGGTAAATTTTTGTGCATGAAACAACAAATGTCTCGGCCTACTTTATGCATTTGTTTCTGTTTCAGTCACACCTTAATGATTATATCAAATATGTGTGAAAATTTTAACAAAAATTTGCAAGTGCTAGTTTGTAGATGTTTGATCGGTTTCAAGTTTGACCACAGTTACAAAAACCAATGACAACCAAGGAATAGTGGATAGCTGTTTCGTTGCACTTCATAAACCACTGGATTCCATTCTAGTGGCTGAATGTTTAACGAACTCACCCCACAACCTGAAAGTCCTGAGTTTGATCCCCATTGGGGGTGTATCGCTGAAGAGTTCAAGTCTGGGACGAAACGGTTGCTTAGCATTCCCCGGTTTTAGATGGTTTTCCAATTTCATTGTCTGAAATTACATTTTATCCAGGAAAACTTCGAACAAATGTTAGGGAAACATAGTGACGTCATTTTGATCGATTACGTTAACCATCTTTAAATTTCACAGTTCATTTAAACGTGTCTGATACGTAAGTACAATTCTGTTTTCAGTTGGTCTTGAAATGAAAAGCACCCTGTTATGGCGACTTATTTGCGTCCGTCATTACTGTCACTCCAACACACAAGAAAATACAACTGACTACTCGAATGCTATTGCCACATTAAGGAAAACACGAAAGACTGGCTGAGAAGGTAAAGGTTTATCGCTCCATGAAAAGGTAATTTCACTAGAAAATTCCACTAATTATACAGTTGCTTCAATTACTAGTTTGAGGCACAAAACGTTATGTTCTAAGTGGATGGCATAAACCAACACAAGTCTAATGACATCACCTTTAATTCACATTATGGTCGAACATCAAATTTACAGATCCTGTGGGAAACACTGACTCATAATTTGTCTCCTCTTTTCCTAAAAGTGTTTAATTCAGGTGGATAAATCCAACCGAATTGAAGCGTTTTTCTACAATGCATTGAATCAGACTTTCAAATGTTTTGTTTGAGAAGATAATCACAAGTGATATGCAAATGGTCAAAAAAGTATATATATATATATATTCATTATAAAAGAAGATAGTTTATTGGGAATCGCTCATAATTTCTTGATCACTTCAACTTGTTTTGAAATGCCTGAGATCTAACACCGCAGATCGCCGAATACTGAGTAGTTGGTGAAGTATCTGACTGAAATAACTGGTCAGTGAAATCAGTGGAAAAAATGTTATCCATGAATAGTTGAGTCAAACAGATAATACTGCAGATCAGTAGGAACAGATAATCCATAGTACTGGAAAGAAAATAGAAAAGTTAACTTCTCTCTGAGATATTTGAGTCATTTGGTGACAAATTTCTACTACGACAGTGACTAAAAATGGAAGGCTAAGAGGAACACAACTGGGTTACTTAGACGGTATGGTAATTTCCCTAAGTTTATATGATAGAGTCGGTGACCTGTTTGAAATTTGGGCTACGGAAAACCTCCATAATCATAGTTCATATAATTTCTCTTGTTTACTTTCTTTTAATCAAATAAAATATAACCTCTAATAGTAATATTTAGCCTCATGATTGTTAAAAATGTTTATAACCCGCCGATTTGCAAGTTTCTGCTAAACTTGAGAAAAGGACTAATTGTGGGTGGCAGCGTATTCCAATACATGAGACAGCTGTTCCTGCGATATGTCTTTGGGTCTCAGAATGTACTTCTGAACTTCTTATAATTGGATGTCAACCAAATATCGTGCATACCTTGGAGACAAAGAAGAAATATTAAAATGGATAGATTTGAGCTTCTGCCTAGACGATCTATTGCAATTAATATTTGATTTGACGATCCTTGACGAAAAGAAAATATCATACAGTCAACTCCGCTGAAATTCCTGTACATTATATAAATACTGTCTAAAATAAAATTATTGTTATGATTAAGTGAATTCCAAAATACGAGAAAAAAATTAATTCAGCAGAAGTATCTAGTGACCACTACCGAAAGAAATACATTTGATGATTAGCGATACCAAAAGTAAATTGTGCAAATACTTCACCAATCTACTGTATTTAATAGTAGGTGAATAAACTTCTATTTCATATAAGTGAGTGTAAGCAATTGAGGTAAGCAAAATAAGACTTACATTTACTTGTATGTAGGTGTGTACATCATTTAATGTGAAAATTTTGGCATTACTAATCACAAGTCAATGTAATATAATGTCACACACACGATAAAAAAATGCGAATACTAATAAGAAATAAAAATTCTCAAATTCTTTCAGACTAAACTAGTCACAAAAATTAATCAATCATTGTTTTTGTATGGATTATTGTACATATTTTTTTCTGAAAAAAACGTTTTGGTGACTTCATGTTTTAAGATGGTTACAAAAACTAGGTAGAGAATGAAGAATAGCAAAACCTAATTGGTTATTTTAACCAGTTAAATGATTGTTCGAGCGATTTCTGTTGCTAACCTGAGTAAAGGCTAAATGTGAATACGCACAGTAAGGGTAATAATCTTTTTTTTATAAGGAGGCATACGAAAACCCTGGTCACATAGAAATCTCACTGGATTATTCACTTAAATTAAGGAGTTTTGAACAAAGAAAGAACATACTGAGAGGGATAAAATGGAGTCATAACACTTCCTTGGTTCCTCTCAATTGCGTACATCTATGATCAACTTAGTGTCAATGTACAAAATATTCATATGTCGTAGGGATGATGGGTAATAATATCACATGATTAAATAGCATAATAAGAACCTTTGTTAAGCTGGTTAATATGTATAAAAATAAATCAAAATTATTCTAGAATCACTAGCTGACAGAGGTGTAAAATTAACTATACACTTATGTAAGGGTCAAATAATTTAGCTGAACAGAGGTCTGATCAAGAATACAAAGGAAGACAAAATTAAGGTATGGAATAATATTGTCAAAACAAAATATAAAATAACAAATTTGACTGGAAAACAATTAAATAACATACAGTATATTCAACCAAGTAAAGAAAGATTATCAACGCTTTCCTCTTGGATGCGTAAGTGTGGCTTTAATCGTCTAATGAAAATCACTACGGTGATACGTAGAAGACTGAAGTTGCCTTGAACTTTAATTATCTTAGAGGATTTTATTAAAAAAACTTCATGACCGCTGTCTAACACATGACGAGCAGTCTCCCTATTAAGCACTTTTGCACCTTTCAGATGCAAGGTGCTTTGAATATGTTCAGATGTGTGGTCACAAATCCTTCTTTCTGTTCATCTGATGTGTGTATGAGAAAAACACTTGAATGTTTATTTGAAAATATAGGAATTTGATATTTCTGAAAACGTCTTTCAAGAGGGGGAACTAAATTCACGATATACATTAGGAGTGCTTTGAAGAAGATAACGAAAGATGCCTCAAGAACAGAAGATGCGATAATCGAGAAATTCCCATATTGATTTATTAAAAAAAATATGTAACAGGGAAGAAAATTGCCTTTTTGACAAGTTATTTCCCAAATGTGTACTCTTGTGTTAATATATGCCATAGAAATCATAAAACTAATCAAATATTGGTGATTATTTTCCAGTCAACGTTTTAAGTTATGCTAGGTATAATACCGAAGGGAATTCACAGGTACAGAATAGACCTACACAATCTCTTCATTACTTCCACACAGCATATCTCTC